CTTTCTTGAAAGATTTCAATTTTTATTCCATCAATTCCTGGTGCCTTGTTCTTTGCCAATTCCTTCAGTGCACTTTGGACTTCCTCCTTCAGTATCATTGGCTCTTGATCACATGCTACCTCTTGAAACAGTTGAACATTAACCAATTCCTTTTGGTACAGTGACTGTGTATTTCTTCCATCTAGAACTGTGGTTTTCAATGTCTGATTTTTCAGAAATCAGTCACCAGGCCTTTCTTTTGAGTGGACAAGAACTTCCAACTTTCAGGTTAGCAGCTGAGCACATTAACTATTTGTATTGCCCTGGGACTCCAAATTGCTAGTAGGTACTCAGTAAATTCTTAGAGAATTAAACGTGCCACTTGAACTAACAAAATGAAGAATGTTGCATTTAAAAAATATTCCTGAGCTATTGATTTTGTTTTCTTTACTTTTTTTTTGCTTTTTCCTTTTTACTCTGTTATAGAGAGTTTAGCTACTCTACTTTTGTTACTCAGTAACAAGGACTTGTTCTTGTTCAGATAAGTTTGTTGTTCGACACTGTTACTGCAGCCATGAAGATTTTATTAGTATGCTCACTAATGTCATTATAGGAATGCGGCACCATACAATAAGTACTGGACTGTGAACCAGAAGATCCATGGTTCGAGCCTGCCAGCAGCTCCACAGGAGGAAGATGAGACTTTCTGTTCCCTCAAAGATGTAAAGCCCTGGAAACAGTGTACAGGGTCCTTGTTGTTAAATGCCTTCGAGTTGGTTCTGACCCTGTGTAGGCTCTCCAAGGGACAACTAATGAGCTTGAAACACTAACCTTGTGGTTCAAACCAATTTTGCAGTCCAGCACATTAGCCCATAGTGCCACACCAGTACTCATTTTCCATAGTAAGTCTTAGAAATTTTTACCCAGTTATCAGCTGTTGGTGAATCACTTCTGACTCAAGGCAACCCCAATGTGTCCTGAAATAGCTGTTTTCAGTGACTGACATTTCTGAAGTATATTGCCAAGTCTTTATTTTAAATCAGCCTCTGGGTGGATTGAAACTTCATCTTTTCTGGTTAGTAGCCAAGCATGTTAAACTGTTGTACCACCCAAAGATTTTTCAATCTTACAGCACATCTCAATTCAAATGAGACTCACTTCAAGTTTTCAGCAGACCATTGGGCTGCTGAGAGCTTGAACTAACATTGGATGGTATAGGTGAATTATTTTATTCTTTCCGCATTACCAAGGAATGGCAACAAGTATTAACTGTTCCCAGCCCAGTGGACTCTCCAAAAGATGCATAAGAAGGTAAAATAAACAGTCTGGATAGTTCATTTCCCCAAGAAAAGGGAGCACATCCTGGTTCACATTTGTTACAGTATCAAGAAAGAATTGTAATATGAAACTCTTTCCTTGACAGTTCTGTCACATCAGGGAAGCAGAGAAACTTTCCATCCAGGGACCTGACATATTAGGGCCATTTAACTTCCTTAGAATTTGACAGATAGTGTCCTAAATTGTATAAAAAGCACTGACCATTATTGCTAAATTGCTTTATTTGAGAATGGTGGTGTTGGTAGAGTTTTTAAATGGATAGTTTATGTATTTGTTCAGCATGACTGATAAGAGTTCTCACCCTAAGGTATTCAAAAATAGATTTATTAGAGTTTAAGGTTATTTGTATGCAGTTTCACAGCCCAAAGAAGACAATGTTATTAGCCATAAATGACAGAATAAATGTATAACTGATTGTTGTTGTTAAGTGCCTTCAAGTTGATTCTGTCTCATAGCGACCCTTTTTAGGGTTTGTGAGGGTGAAATCTTTTCAGGAGTAGAAAACCTCATCTTTCTTCCTTAGAGTAGCTGGTGGGCTCACACCATCAACCTTGTGATTCGCAGTCCAGTGCTTATCCTACCTACAGAGCCTCTGCACTCCCTATATAACTTGTTAAGTGCTCTTGAGTTGGTTTCAACTCATAGCAGCCCTATGTAGACTTTCTGAAGGGTGGCCGGTGGGTTTGAACCTCAGACCTTGTGGTTAGCAGTTCAGTGCTTATCCTACAGTGTCACACCAGGAGTGATCAAATTAATTTTCCTGTGTTTTCTTGACATAGTATAGGGAATTGTCTTTGTGAGGACTGCTTCCTATGTCTTGGTGATGGGTAACGGTTGAGAGTTAGGCTCCTGAAGGGAAGTAGCTAACAGCAGGTGGTCATATAATTGATCATCCAAACTGCATCACTTGTAGAGCTAAAGTGGAGTGCTAACAATCATTATCAAACAGCAAGTAGTAGTAACCAGGACTGTCCCAGGCAAATTGGGACACATAGTCACTCCAGTTTAGGGACGCTGTTGTAATTTTGCTGGCTTCTCTTTTGGGAATCCTGGCAGACTGAAAATAAAATCATGGAAGTCATCACTGATCAGGATCCTGATCTGCCAGTGAGGTTCCCTTCATGTACAGCTTAGATTGATGTTTATTTCCAGGAACACTGAATTTGAGAGTTTGAATAATAAGGAAAAGGTAAAGAACTTTAATTTAGCAATTTGGCACTTTCTCTAGCTCCTTGCAGGAAGGTACTGCAGTTAGGGAAACAATACTACAGAAA